TGAGTAAAACAGATTAGCTATAGGCTATGAGAGTCCTCTAGAATTGGGCACTGGAAGCCTACTCACTGCTCTCCAGTGGGTTTTAATTTTACTGTATAGTAAAATTTTTGTGACTAATCACCCAAATCTTTAGACACTGGTCTTAACCGTATACGCTGCTTTTGGGTTGCTTTATAAAAGGACAGTTTTCTAAAACCTAATTTTGAAAACAGTATTATACTTGATACTGCTGAACACAGCGTATGCTATTTCCTGAAAGAATAGTTTATCTTTCTTAGGCTTTCTGTGGGTGAGACAATGAGAGGGGACTTAACTGGGCTAATGTCTTCAGCATCTTTACTTTTCCCCTAGAAAATATATCTCCATTTACTTCTAGCATCTGTGCTAAGGGAGTAGTTTAGATTTATTTAAGTTAATGTTGACTTGTAAGATTTCTGTTCATATGTAACTATCAATTGCACTTACTTTTCTATGTAAGTCTATGTAGGTGTTTTCTCCTACACATAATATTGGTTAACAGTTATAATATCTTACTGAAGTTAGCAGGTTCTGGGTTCCTTGGATGTCTTCATCTGCTTGCTGAATTGCCTTCTCTGCTGCAATCTGAGCCTTTTCTGCTTCTTCCAGAGCTTCCTTTACCATATCAGCAGTGACTTTAACATCTGTCGCACTTTTGCTGAGGGAAAGAATGAGATAATAGTTGTCTATGGACATGAAAAAAGTACCTCAGGAAAGAGCACTTCTTTTCTTCCTGCAAAGAGCCAGACTCATTTCTTTCTTTAAAATGTCATCAGTTAAATAAATATCTTTTTAATCCATAAATAATATACACACATAAAAGAGCCCCTTAGATGCCATGTCTTTAGATACCTGGCAATCTTAGCTTCTTCTAGCAACAACTCAGCTCTGGCAATGTCACCAGCACTTTGCTGTAGAATAACCTCTACTTGAGAAAGGCTTTCAACTCGTTCACGTATCTCTTCCGTCAAGTTCTGCAACTGCTGTGGGGTGCTAGGCATTTCCATTTTCAATACTTCATTAGCAACTGCTTCAATGCTGTCCAAATCAGCACTATCCTCTGTGGAAAGCAAAGATGGCCCCGTAAACAGGTGAAAAGTCATAGATGGGTCACTCATCCACTTACTGGTTATCAAGCACTGGTGGGGTTACACCAAGAGACACAGACTTTCTGTTTTAAGAGTTTATTTGTAATCCACTTAACGTGGGGAGATGAGACCTATGCACACAAAGAGAACAGATGCAGATAGTGGAGTACGACTAGCATTTGTT